GTCAGGGAAGGTCTGAAAACCTGCTGGGGACAGGCCTACGCCTGCCACCAAAGCCAGCTGCCCACTGCTCCCTCTGACCACCATCGGGCACAGGCTGTAGCTGGGGGCTCACAGCCCCCCACTATCGAAGGGACAGAGCCTATGACCCCTTCTCTGCCCCATGACCTCCACCCGGAGCTTTACGTGACTTGATCCTGGGGTGTCAGGGCCAGGGCTGGGGAGACTGGGTGGGAGATTTTGAGGGAAGTAGAGGCACGGGGGTTGGGAACATAGTGTGCGCTGCTTCCAAAAACGTGAGGTTTGAGATCACCCAGAAATTAATGACCTGTGACGGCGTCAACGCCCCAGCCCAGCAGCTGTACCCTTGCAGTGCACAGGGGCCAGTGTGCAGGTGGGTGTCCCCACAAATCCCCTGCACCTCCGCTCCTCCTGCCCCTCTTCAGACACTGTGGTTGCCAGGCCGACCAGCGCAGGCCCCTCCTGCCGCAGCTGGGAAGACGCCACTCTGTAGCACGGACGGGGAACCCACCGTGGCTGTGATGAGCCCAGGGATGCAGCCCAGGGCAGCTGATTTCCTGGGGCAAACGTTGGTCAGTGGGAGGTGGGCACCAGAGGGGCCAGGCAGACACGAGTCCCCTCCCCTCCCTCCCTCCGGCTCCCCCAGCATTGCTTCCTCCGAGCAGCCCGTCCTGAGAAGTCTTATGTGCCCAGAGTTGCAGCTGCCAAACGGGGTGATTCCAGCTCCTCCCGAAGCAGCGGCGGCGGGCTCAGCGGGCCCGGCTCCCTTGGCGCCGATCACTTCTCTCCCTGTGTCACTTCGCCACCCCCCACTCTCTCTTGTCCCTGCCTCAGCCTCTGTTTCCTGGGGAACCCTGGCTGCAACAGGTCTGCACCACGGGGACAGGGGAAGTGGAACAGCCATGGGACTTCCGTTCCTTACGGATGGCAGACTGGGCGCCCTGAACGACTCTTCTGAAGAAAATAATTGGGTAGCTGAATTAAAAGAACACTTACAAAATATATCCCCAAACTTTCATGAAAACAAAAAAGTTGTAAAACACTGAAGAGGGGAAAATCAGAACTCCCAGGAGGCAACGAGGTCAAAGCCAGCTTTCAGATGGGGGCGGTTCTCCAGCGCCCTGCGGACCCTGAGTGACTTGACAACACGCAGCCTTGGGGAGAGGAGATGAGGCCCCGGTCCTCCCAAGGTGGGAGAGGCAGGCAAGGATGCGTCATAGAGCTGAGACCTCACATGATGAGCAGAAACCCGCACACAAAAGTTGACAGACGCACAAGAAATGTTCCTGCCTCTGCCCTGACATTGGGGAAGGAAAACACAAACTCCCCTGAGAATTCATAAACTGAAGAAACTCATTGACGTTGCTGATTTAAACTCCCGCTAACTGTGTGGTCCCAATTTCAAGCTGATTGTTTACAAAAGTGGTCCCATACTGGTGGTGTCTCCCACATGACAGCAGCAAATGCAAATATTTTTTGGGAAAAAAAATCAAGTCAGAAACTCAAAGAATTTCAACCAAATATACATCCAAAGCAAACACACCTTGATGTTCAAAAGTTGTAAGAACAAAGGAAACCAGCCACTATAAAATCCAATCGCTAAAAAACAGATTAGATGTGGCTGAAGAGAGAAACAGTGAACTGGAAAACATATCCAAGGAAATTACACCAGATCTCCATCCGGAGAAACAAAGAGATGGGAATCGTAAAAGGTGATAAACCACGGAGGATGAAAATAGAGAATCAGCCGTGTGTATAATAATATTTTTGAAGGGAGTGATGGAATAGAGAAGAGTCAATATTTTAAGAGACAATGGCTGAGAATTTTTCAGACAGTTTAAAGATGCCTGGAAGATCCAGTAAGCTCAATACATTAAAAGGGAAATAAATTTATATCTACATGTATGATAGTGAAAGTGAAGAAACCAAGGCAAAGAGAAGACGAGGCCTGTTGGTGCCCCGCATGCCTGATGAGCCTGGGGACAGAAATCCTGGAACCGTTGGGTTTGGTGGACAGCCCACACTGGCCACACAGGTGTGAGGTGACCGACCTCCCTGCAGACAGAACCTGAGCAAAGGCCCCGGGGCACCAGGAGGAGGCTCAGGGCTGCCATGGGCTCCAGCGTCCCCATGTACCCTGGCCCCACACCCCACAAGATGCATGTCCCCCGTTACCAGCAAGAGTCCACGCCTCCTCCCCTCCCCAAGCCCAATGCCCTTGCACCCCACATGCCCTGTGGGTCTTCCAGCCCCTTTCTCTGCTCACCCCACCCCCACACCACACACCCAACCCCGGAGCCTCCCGAGCCCTCCTCCTCGGACCCTGTCTCACTGGGTCACCTGCTGCCTGAGCGTCCACTCCCCTGTTGCCTGTACTGCTTGAAACCCCCAGAGAAAACCAGAGCTACTCCCTCAAGGTGGGATCCGGAAAAACTCCGGAGACCAGCATGGCCGTGACCACAGGACCTGTATGTCTGGTTTCTTCTTATGAGGACATCTCCCTGGGGTTTTGGCTATTGGCTCAGGTGGTGTGCAGGAGGAAGGCGAGACCTCAGTGCCCAGGGAGCCTGGGGTGGGGGCTCACAGTCACTCCTCGTCCCTCAGGTCCCATGTCACCCTCTGCCGCTGCAGGAGGAGAAGAGTTCGCAGTCCTGGGGGGTGGGATCAGGTAGGGGAAGCAACTGCCAGAGGCTGACTGACCCCTAGACTCGGCCCTGCACCCCCACAGGGCCTCGGCAAGGCCCTGATTTTGCTTGGGAGGACACCTGCGCCCAGTGGGTGCTGGTACCTGCTCAACCCCAGGTCCCCATCCCCCATGTGCACATATCTGAGCACGTGAGGTTGTCAATGTTATGGATATGAAGATGCAGCACGCACTTCATAGATAATAATAACATGTAAGACATACTATCGTCAATCCCACAGAGCCACTGGGTCCCTGAGTGGCTCCGTGGTTCTGTGGGATGCTGGTGTCCGTGGCCAGTGCAGGGCGGAGACCAGTGTGCCCTCACAGCAGCGTCGGGGCACGCGTCACCTGCCTCAGGTGCCGGCGAAGCCACAGGACGCGTGTTGGAGCTGTGCTGGGCCCACGGGGGGCTCTCTTCCTCCCCTGGGTGGTAGTTTTCTGATGTAAGAACGTCATCAAGTTTTTGTGCCATTCACGATGTCATCAGGGCATTTTCAATGTAATCTGTTTTTGCATCACCTTCTTAGGTAGAGACATCACAGCAACAGATCAGGCCCAAACAGGGATCTGTGGGGTGCTGGGACTGCTTCCCGGGTGTCGTGGAGAGGGTGCTGCAGGCCCGGAGAGGGTACCCAGCACTGGGTGGCCTCACACAATGAGGACACGGATGGCAGGAAAGTGCAGCAGGATGAGTAGAAGTGATGAGTTCTGAGCATTCACGCATTATGTTTGTTAATGTAATTGTGAGTTTATGTAATGTGATTTTAAACAAGGACTGTGCCTGGCTACTGCTCCCAAATTTTTGGAACTTCAGCCTCAGTGCCCCACACTGCTGCTGGACAGACCCCCCCCACCAGCTCCCTCTGCCTTTACTGATATTTTTACAAATCCTCACCCGAGGACATGCTGATTGATTTTTAGAGAGAGGGGGAGGGAGAGAGAGGGAGAAAAACATCGATGTGAGAGAGAAACATCAATTGGCTGCCTCCTCCAACCTCCGCACGCACCCTGACAGGGGACCAAACCTGCAACCTAGGCCTGTGCCCTGACCAGGGTGAATCACAGCCACAAGCTTTCAGTTTACAGGACGATGCTCAACCCGCTGAGCCACACTAGCCAGGGCTGATATTATTAACTAAAATTCAGTGTTTAATGTTACATTTTTAGTTAACAATTATTAAATAATTTAATGACTGATCACATAATTGCTCTTTCAGCCTCCAAACCTCCCCAGAGAAGCCGTTCCTTCTCTCCCGAGGTTCCCCTGCCCATCGGTCGGTCATTCCCCAGGAGAACTGGGGCTCCTCCAGGGTGGGGTCTTTGTCGGGCTCGGAGACCCGCCGCAGGGCAGACGTGGACAGCTGTGACCAGACCGGAGTCTGGGCGCCACCGAAGACACCACAGAACCTGCACTAAACTCATCGGATGGCGCCGACTCTTCTCTGACGCCTAATTTGTTCTTTTAAGGCAATGTGTTTTCATTTTTCTGTTGCTCTTACTGTGTAAGAAAGAACAGATTCAAAACTGACACAACAGAGAAAATTTTGCCTGTGACGGGGCTGCTTTTTATTTAAATGGGGCTTTGGACTTTCCATAACATTTTCACGTCTGCCTTTCATTTAGTTGTGGATACATTGACAAATACATAAGTAAAAGAGAGAAATAAGCCAAAAATCACTCCAAATCCCACCTTCCAGGCACTGTGCCCAGACTCAGCCCCCGCCGCCCCCCGCCCTGGGCAGGCACACCTGCCTGGTGTGTCTGTGAGGCCACAGGATCCTCACAAACTCCGCCCTGTGGCCGGGCTCCCCTGGTGTGCTGTGAGTCGGTCCTAAACAGCACAGTTTTAGCTTGTCACTTGGTACCTGCGTTTCTTCCCTGGGCCCGAACGCCCCGTCTACCGGGCCCTCCCTGGGCCCGAACGCCCAGTCTACCTGGTTCACGGCCTACTGTTGGTGTCTACGTTTTTCCTGTGCCCCCCACCCCTCCACGTGGTCCTCACGTGTCCTACAGGTAACTGGCATATGTCATCACCCCTTTGTGGAAGGGACCCAGCAGGGGCAGCCCTCACTGTTCTCTGCACGCCTTGTATCTGGGAGCTGCTAACATGCTCAGGAAAATGGTGGAAAAGCCAAGAATCTGAGAGGGGAGGGGACCCAGAAAGCCTGTCCCCAGATGGGGACGTGTGGGTACGGCACAGATGACTGGACCAGATGGTGACTGACCCTGGGCCTGGCCTGTCAGTGGACCAAGAAGAGCAGGAACCAGGAGGGAGAGAAACTCAGCAACACCATGGTAGTGAAACGCCTTGTTTTATTGAGGACACTGCAAATCCTTTGTCTACGTGACAGCGTCTCATGCTCGGTCCCACTGGTCTCGGTGCGTGAGGAGCTCATGCGGGTGGTGACGTGTGGTATATACATCAATATACATACGAGGACACTGGGGAGTGTGTCTTAGCGACGGTTTCCTGGCTGAATGACATTCACAAAGAGAGTCCGAATCCTGAAGTCAGGTTAAAAGCATACAGCTTCAAGTCTGGAGAAGCCAACGGCTTTCAGGGCTCACCCCACCAACATTCCACGGATCGTGCCGTTCACAGTCACGTCCAGAAGGACGCCCTCAGTCCCTCCTGTCCCATCAGCCCGCGCTGGAGCCCAAACAGTGAGCAGAGAAGTGCAGCCCACCTTGCCAGAACAGGACGCCAAGTCACAGTCAGGTCAGGCCCTGACCCCTCCCCACCCTCCCATTGTGCGGACATACCGTGTGCTGTAGGCTGGCCTCGGGCCATGGAGAGGGGCCACCGGACATGCCTGGGACAAGGACACACAAAACTGGACACCCACAGTCACAAGGACTCTGCCCTTCCCCATTATACAGTTGGGGTGGTGAAAAGAAATCTTTTGAGAGATTTCACGGAATGTACAGATGGAAAAGCCAGCTAACTTTCTCTCTCTTGCTGGATCAAATGTTATGCCTGGGGCAGACCTTATATGTTGGTGTGAATATTCTAGAAATGAGAAGATGCACCTGTGTTGTATTTTGGTTTTGGTTCTCACGAGGAAAGGAGCTCGCCGCCTCCCCACAGCAGTCCCCGGCCCTGCGCTCAGACCGGCCCCGCGGAGAGCCTGCCTGGAGCCCTGCACAGTAAGCACTGTCTTTACAAAGTGGTTCTACAGCCTGCGGAGCAGTGACAGCATCTGAATAAAATAAATTCCAGGAAATCGCCCTGTGAGATGTTGGCTTGGACATTTTACAATAACTGTTTTGATCACAATAAAAATCTCCAAAGTAGGAAAAGATGATGAAATGTTGAATGAAGACCCAGAATCAAAACTGCAGTTCTTTGGTGTCCTTGCCTGAGAGGAGGTGAAAGCTGACCCCGAGCAGGGGGTAGGGCTGAGCTGAGTGGCTAGGATGTCCCCCGACCTTGGCCCGACCTGGGAGAGCCTGGCTCACGTTCCAAACGTACCACCCCAGCTGAGCCTTCTCTTCACTCCACTTTCCCGCCAGCAGGACAGCTGCCTGGTGGCCCGGAGTGGACAGTGACCGGCACTCCCAAGGAGCGGACACTCCAGGGGTGGCTGACACAAGACAGTGGAACCCCTCCTGACCCTCACTCGTCAAGGGTCCTCACACTTAACATTTTGCTCAAAAAGCCAAGTCCCTGGTTGTCCCAACTTTTCTGTGACGTCTCTGTGGCCCGGGTGGAGGACATCAGATGTCGACTAACGCCCGAGGACACGGGGCTGCGTGTCTAATGCATGGTGGGCTCAGGAGGGACGGGCGGTGTAAAGTGCTGGGTCTCCTGCTTTGTCTCCTGCAGCAGTTGATGAGCCCTCCCTGTCCTGCTCTTGGATGAGTGCTCCGGCCGCCCTGCCTAGAGGCAGGGCGTCCTGTGCAGGCCTCCTGGCCAGCCCCTGCCCTGACCTCCCACCTTCCTCCCGGCAGCCACGGGTCAGACCTGGGTGCTTTCAGAGCACAGCCCTGCATCAGGCCTGCCCTGGCCGGTCTCACACTTGGCCCAGGAAAGGTGCACAGCTCAGGGGCCATGGGGACCACACACAGTAGGGCATCCGCTCACCTGGGGCTGGAGAGAGACTCACGCTAACTTCAACCATCCCTCATGGAAGGGAAGGCCAGACACCCGGACAGTACATGTCTACCAAGTGTATTTCCACTGGGCTTTGTCACCAAAATCCGTATCTTTTTTAAAAACTAAGTCCATCTCCCAATCCCCATTAGAAAAAATACCATTTTTAGAGAGAAGAATAAAAACGCAGGGCCTCTCATGATGTTCTTTTGGGCACAGGAAGCCTGCTCTGGGAGGGGCCGGCACCCCCAGACGCCCTTCCTGTGATGCACTGGAGTGGACCCCAGTGCGTGGCACCCAGACCGTCGTCCACGGGTATGGGGGCCTGAGCCTGCCCTCTGACCGGCTCAGGATGAGCAACGGCCCCGCACCAGCAGGGAGGCCGGTGCGGGCGGTGCCCGTCCCGGCACCTGGTAGGTCCCAGGCCTGAGCAACCTGCCCCCAGGACGCACGCCCTGAGATGTGACCACCGCAGGCTCCAAGCTCTGCTCCTGCTCCTCACGTCCCGGGCCTGCAAGGACACGGGATACCAGGTGCACACCTTGATGCCACGCAGGCGACTTCGCTGCAGGGTGGGGTGTGCCCGTGCCTGCCCAGGGCACAGTGGTGCCCTGCACAACCATAAATCAGGCAGGGCTGGAGCGTGCCCTCCACCCGCTCTGCTGGCCCTGAGTGGCAGCGACAGGTAGCTGGTCCGGGTCTCCAGGCACAGATCGGGCGGAGCCCAGGCCTCGACCTGCCTGACCCCCTTGCTCAGCTGCCCTGGGCCGTCCTGTGTGCCCCTGGGTCCCCCCAGATGCAGCAGCACCCCCTCCCTGCCATGACTACACTCACAGCCTGCTGTGTTGCCAGCTTTCAGCCTGAATACTTATTTTTTCAAACATGTCTTTGATAAAGCTGGAAAGAATAATTTAGAAATATGTCTTAAGGGGTGTTTGCCAAAATGAACATCTGTGACTTCATTCTCATTCAGTCCCATGAAGACCTCAGGCGGTCACTCAGGTCCGTCGGGCCCCAGGGGAGGAGCGGGGGTCAGGCTGACTGTCGTGCGGTGGCCTGATGCACGGCCGCTAGGCCCGAGGTTAAACACTGCTTCAGAACCCAAAGGAATGCCACACTTATGTCTGGTTATTTAGAACTAACCAAGAAAAGTTGTCTGTGATGTGATTCTTCGAGGGACACAGAAGCTTCTGGAAGAATGGAGGCTACAGGGACCTGGCCGGACACCGTGGGGCCATCTCCGCAGCTGCCAAGGACCTGCCTGCAGGGGGCAGTGTTGGGAAGTGTGGGCATGGGGACTTTCTTTAGGTTACTACGTCCTACCTCGGCTTTCTCTTCTCCTGCATATATACATATGCAGGAAAATATATATAAATGGTTTTTTGCAATTAAAATAATGTGGCATAAGGGTGACCTGACATAATTACTTCTTATTTTATAAATCACGTTCCTAGCTCTGAATAAATTATTTATTCAAGAATTTCACACAAAGTAGTTGCTATTTCCTAAGCTTCAGGAAGCCCTACTCGGTAGAACTCGATTTCTATCGTAAACTGAGACTGAACGCCGTCACCAGCAACTGGACGAGGACAGGGTGCCGCGGAGGTGCCGGAGGGCAGCTCCGGCCCGGCCACCCCACCCGCCCCGGCTGCATGCCCACCCCCGCTGCAGACGGGAGGTTGTGGGGACGGGGCCGACACCAGGCACCCCCAGGTCCCCGCCGGCGGTCAGGGCGTGAGGGAGAACTGGTCCTGCTCCGTGGGCTTCTCCACCCAGGCGCCCAGCCCCGCCTTGACGAACGCCCGGAACAGGCAGGCCTTGGCCGCCTGGTACTCCTTTGCCACCAGCTTGGACTCATGGTACATGTTGGGTTTGGTGATCCTGGAGCGCAGTAAGTGGGAGGGGACCTGTGTGAAGATAAAGAACAAGTACAACCATTCAAGAAGTAACAGTGGAAGCTAGAACTCAAGATCATGGTCAAAAATGATAATTAGTACTGGGCTGGCTTATGGAGGTGGGGCCCCCACGTGCAGGGGCCTCCCGCGGAGGGGCTGTCCTCACACGGAGTGGCCTGGGCGCCCGTCTGAGGGGCTGTGCCTCCCACCCCCAGGAGCAGCCCGCGGACACACAGGCGCAGCTCCCGGCCACCCGCGGACAGTTGAGTCTAATGTCCACTCCCAACACTGTAGCTGTTCGGAAACCACGGTGTCCTGTACTGGTGATCACTGGGGCACCACCCCACCCCTGCTGGCTACCTCATGTGTGTGCTGCTGCAACTTGTCTATTCCTCCACATCAAGTTCAAGGCCAGCTTCATAATAAACGATACAGACTTGACTCATAAATCAATGAAAAATAGTAATATACTGGTTTACCACATGAGGTTTTATTTGGTGAAAAGGGGGCCCTGCTGACGCTACTGTGGAGAGAAGGTCTAAAATCCTTCCCGGCGGGTTTAACTGAGCCCAGCGACGCCTGCCCTTCTGGGCGCCTGCTCTCTGAGGTGACAGAAGGTCCCTGGCAGGAGGGCTGGGGAGGGAAATGCTGCCTCTGGGGCTGAGCCGCTTTAAATCTGAAGGGCCAGGGCTGGACTTTAGGCTGGATGGCACCAGAAGGAGCAGGTCTGGAAGGGCCGTGTGGACGGAGGCGGGGCTGCGACAGGGACAAGCGTGGGGGTGGGCGGGCGCCTCAGTACCTTGCCGTGCACACGCATCCAGCGACAGTACAACGCGTGCTTACACAGGCGCGACGCTCGGCCCAGCTCATCCTTGCCCGTCGTGGCGTTGATGACCTCGACGGCCGCGTCGCCCACCGTCCAGTTGACGCTGAAGTTGGGTGCCTTCCCCGGCTGCCGTGCTTCTGCGTTGCTGATGCCTGGAAGGGAGGGACGAGCGAGGTGATGCCGAGGCCCTTGCGACAGGCGTGTGGGACCGATTGGCACCGGTCCAGTGCCACCTCCTGCTGCCCAGAAATGCGCTGTCTGTTGAGAGGTGGTGGAAGGCCCACAAAACCGAGACCTGTGCGACCTCACAGCACTTCTAACTCACTCGGGCAACAGAGTGGGAAAGCGGGGCGGCCCGTTCGGGACGGCAAGCCACACGTGTGACCTCAGGCCCTGACGCCGAGGTCACCCTTTCACACGCCCGACACCCAAGATGCAAGGTCCAACCTCTTCACATGTTTTCTTACTGCATTTCAACACTTTCTGGAACCAAACGCTTCATTTATTTTTGTGCATCCGCTCAAGGCCACGGATCTGCTAAGCGTGCCTGCAACTCCAGTTGCCATTTCTGCTGCACACAGACTAAGAGCAGCTCAGCCTGGTTTCCTCTCTGACGGGAGAGTTACCCACCAGTCCCACTCCCACACGGCTGGGGCCTGTGGCCTCTTCTACTCTCGCTTTGTAGCCAATGTTCAGTTTTAGAGCAAAGGAACCTGGACAGGTAGCGAGTCTGGATTCGATGAGTCATGGCCATGTGCGGCACTTCAGAGCCGAGCAGAGTGACGGACTTGAGAGATGAAAGTGTTAATTGTTACCAAGTCTGGTACTGAAGGGAGAGCCTCAGCATCGAATGGAGTCTCTGTCCCGACGTCGGGCAATCGCTCCAAATCACACTGGTATGTGGCAGGGTCGCCACTGAGACGGAACAGTAGGGCCTGTGGAGAGTTACGAGGACCGACTGGCTCTCAAGGAGGCGGAGGCTGAGAAGTCAGTCCCACGACCTGCCCTGTGCCAGCCGGGGACACAGGGCGGCCGACGATACAGGGCAGCCGGTAGTGGACCTCCGCCTGAGTCCCCAGGCGGAGAACTGGGGGCCTGTGGTGTGAGTCCCGGCCAGCAGGGCATGGTGAGAAGAGGTGGCCCAGTTTTGTCAGCCAGGCAGGAAAAGGGGGGGAGCTCCACGTGCGCCGGCCTCGGTGGCCCATGGGTGCGCGGGGGAGACAGATCCTCTGAGTCTTTGAATAAAATCTGACCATCATCCCTTTATCGAAATGCCTGACCGCTATCTGATTAGGTAGAAAATGCTACAATAAACACAGTTTCCCCTCGGAATGGAAGTCACTCGCCACTCAGCACGGCTCCTGCGCGCCGCGGAGCGCCACGTGCTGAAGCCCCACAGAGACGGGGCCAGGAAGGGACCTCTTACAAACTGATTCTGCTCGGCACCTGGTTTCCAGGTACTCAGTGGGACTGTGTTGCTAGCGAGTGGGCAGTGCTCGTACTGTGTCGCTGTCCTCATAAATCTGAACTCCTGTGCAATCAGGTCATTGTCAAGGGTCACCACTGAATGACACTCCAGCCTCAGAGCCACAACACTGTACATTACAATCAGAAATGGTCAACTAACTGCCCGAAAAAGTAAGACCCTAACAGTACAAATATGGTTTGTATTTTAAGCTAAATAAATGGAAAAATGGAGAAAATAAGGCAGAAAGAAAAGAGCTAGCTTGGGCTTCCAATGCTAACCACATGCTTTTTCTGGAGGAGAATTTCCCTGATGGTCAGGAGAGCACCTTTCTCTGAGTCCCAGGGGCCGATGCCCCCGAGTGGCCCGACATCTGGGAGAGCAGGTCTTTTCGGGGCTGCAAAGTGAGGACTGGGGTAAGGAGCCAATCACAGGCCACCGGGCAGAAACCAGGGAAAGCAGGAAATCACAGGCTGCGAATGAGTCTCTGCTGTTGTGAATTATGTGAGTCAAAACGCCCAGAACAAAAATACAGAGAAACCAAACTGGCCTAACGCCAGGTACAAAGCCCGGAGAGCTGGTGCCCATTCGGACTTCCCTCCCACAGGCGTCTCCACGGGCGCCTTCACCTACAATGGGCCATCAAAGCAAATTACATGCATAATGATTCCTGACAGACATTAAGGCCACCGTGGCTTCCTGCTACAGAAGTTCTCTGTCATATGTTTATTGACCCAGAAAATATATAGTTTACACTCTCGATTGAAAGTGACCTTTATCCTGCAAACAGAGACCTGGGTAGGAGCTGAAGTGTAAGGAACCTGGTGTGCAGTGCCTGACAGTGATGGTGACACTGGCCATCCACCCGGGCCTCCCAGGCCCTCGGTGTCACTGGCCCCTGGGGACCCAAAAGCTGTGAAACCTCCTGCCACTGAAGCCTGGAGCCAGGCGCCCTCCAGACCTCCACCTGATTTTCCCTGAGGACTGCAAACCCTGAGCCAAGGAGGGAAGTGACTGGACCCCATCCAGCGGTGAGCAGTAGCAGGGACCGGGCAGCAGGCTGTGCCCCGCTCTCACGGCCTCCCCACCGCCTTCTCACTGCTTCACCAGGCCCAGACAGGTGCCAAGGACTCTGCACAGGGGACCACTGGCCAAATAAGACTTCCTTCATAGCTGAAACCCTGGGGTTTTGAAACACAATGTCGGGAAGGAGCCTGAGCCTCCAGTCCAGAAAGTGAAGTGTGTGCTACTGGCTGCCTGGCCTGGACAAGCCCGTGTCACCAGGAAGCAGGGGATCCAGCGGGTCCCTCACCCAGCCTGCATGGCCAAGACTACACAGGACTGGGCGCATTTAACTGGAAGTCTCTACCCGGCCGACGATACCCCCCGGGGTGACAGAAGAGGGGAGTGCCTATGCCCCAGACGTGGTTTGCAGACAAATCCCGGCACAACTGTTATTGCTGAGAAATCCTCAAAGGAATCATCAGTACAACAGGTAATGCCACTTTGTCATCAAAGACACCTGTACTGAATGTTCAAACAGACAAATGAACAAACATAGGCGAACCACATCCTAGACCCTTGAGTCTACAGGCAGTTCAAGGTCGTTTGGGTTGGTCCGTCACACCAACCCGCGGCACCACGTCCACAACAGGCGCTGGCCACCCTCCTTGGCCAGACTGCTTCCTTCCAGTCAGGGATGCTCAATACCTCCCAACGACTGGGTTGGCCAAAAAGTCCGTTCGGTTTTGTCCGTAAAAATAACAGACACGTTTTTCATTTTCACCAATAACTTTACCGATTTGGATTATTTTGAGCATATCAGTTGCCTCCCACGTAGCAGAATACTGATTGTTTTTAATTACTGTCTCAATTTGATCGCTATCGAGTTCAACTGGTCTTCCTGACTGTGGGCACTGTCCAGTGAGAAATCTCCAGCACGAAACCTCACAAACCACTTTTGACATGTTCGATCACTCACAGCACCTTCGCCATCCACTGCACAAATCTTTTTTATGCATCTCAGTTGCATTTTTAGCTTTCTTGAAATAATAAAGCATAATATGCCAAGAATGTTTATTTTCTTCTATCTTCAATGTTAAAATAGCAACACACAAAAACTCACCAGTTTTGATAATTTTAACGCACGCCACTATGACAGCTGTCACAACACAATCTACCAACAGTTGTTTGAAAAAAGTTAAAGACAGCTAAGTACTACCAGAGCCATCTTACGGGAAAAACCGAATGAACTTTCTGGTCAGCCCTGTGTTGTCTAGGGCTCCAGCCACCAGGAAGTTCTCTGGGACACAGGAGATGGGAAAGCCCAGACAGTGGGTCCTTGAAGAACGAAGACCCCAAGCAGGCGGGGACTGCGAGTGTGTGGCTGTGACACGCGCCGGCAGGTCCCGGACACTGAACAACCCGGACAGCAACCGCCCCTGTGAGCGGAATGTCCGTGTGTGGCTGTGACCGGGCAGGTCAGCTTCCTCAGAGAGCGGGGCAGACTGAAGGGGTGGCAAAGGACGCGTGCCACAGGAGAAACTGGACCGAGACTTGCAGACAAGATGGCGCAAAAGCAACAGCACGGGACAAAAACCGGAGAAAGTCTCTCCGACCCGGAGGCGAGGTGGTCCAGGTGGAAGCCGTCAGAGGAGTTGGGGGAGGGGGAGGAACACAGCCATACTCCTGGCCTTACTCTGGGGAAAGTCTGAGTTTTAAGGAAAAAAGATAAACTTAATGCTACCAGACAGAGAACAAAATGGGAATCTTTCGGAAGGAGAGAGGATGGAGGTGGCTCTGAGCCCAGGAGACCAGGGATGGTGACAGCAGCTTCTGCGGGAGCACCCAGTCCGGCTGCTGCAACCCCAGATGCTGGGCGAGGGCGGCCCAGGGGTGGGGGCACCGCTGGGGGGCCCCTTCCAAGTTGACCAGAACAGCCACCCCTCTCTGTCCCAGCAAAGTCAAGACTGACCCTGAATGCACAGCGACTGGCAAGGAACTGTGGCCGCGTACGTCTGTCCAAACTGTCACGGACAGTCCGGCGGAGGGACCCATGGGGAAGGTGGCTGGGAGGACTTTCTAATCTAAACCACAAGGTGACGCCACCAGAATCTACCAGGATGAGGTGGGAAGGAGGGCGAAGCCGGTCTGAGCTTCCAGCTCCTCTCGGGTGGGGTCCTTATCAATACTGATTAATTCTCCACGCTGATTTCTTAAAGTGCTCATTTGTTTAAAAATTAAGGGCCAACACTGGGTAAAAAAGAAGTGAAATTTAGAACTTCCCAACCACAGGTACAGAAAAAGTAAAAAAGCCACTGTAATCCAGACGGCAATAGGGCAGGAGAAAATCAGTGGGAGGCTAAAACAGAAGACAGGCATGATGGAAAAAGGAAGGTTTTGTACTGGGGGCCGAACCCGACCCGCCCCGCCCCACCCCTCTGACACAAGGAGAGTCCCCACCATTCGGGGGCCACTCCTGCCTGGAAAACACACACCTTCTCTCACCCTCATTCATATTTACATTTCCCCCTTTCCCTCAAGTAAGGCTTTGTGACGCAGAGACAAGAGTCCGAGTTTTACCAACTGCTAAAAATGGGGACAGGCCTTCCCCAGCAGGCGTGTGTGGCTTTCTCTCTGGCACCAGCAGCGGCCCCCTGCCCTGTCTTCCCAGAGGTCCCCCAGCTCAGACAGCATCGTTAGGATGCGCTCCCCACGCTGCCTTATTGGTATTTTGTGACCACAGTGGCAGTAAAACCAGCACTGGGGGAGCCGCCCGTGGCCCCAGGGCAGCCTGCCTGTCACCAGGCCCTGGGACAGTCAAGACCCCTGGCCTTGCTTCTGGACTTCTCTCCCCCACCTGGACAGCAAACGGGGCCTGTTGAGAATCAGGCGTGGATGGGAATTAGAGGCTGGAGCTGCTCTGAAGCCAGCGGGTGCAGATGTGAAAGTGGCCTGGGAAGAAGACGCCAGCACATCTGCAGGGCTTCCGCTTCCCGAGTGCCAGGAAAGGGAGGGTTAGTGCGCACCGCGACGGCCCGAAGGGCCGCAGCTCCCCTCTATGGTCCTCTCTTAAAGTCAGATGGAGAAGGGGGAGAAGGTACAGAGAATAAGTAGCATAGACAGTAGATAGTAAATAGACGGGGGGAGGGGGGGCAAGAATAGTAGGGGAAATACAGAATCTAAAGAACTTGAGATATGTGGTCATAAACTAAAGGGGGGGAATGGTGGGGAGGGGTGTACAGGGTGGAGGGGAATGAAGAGGGGGGAATAAAGGGGGAAATAGGACAACTGTAATGGCATAATCAATAAAATATATATTTTAAAAAAGTCACATGTGCTTTTCATGCTGAAATAACATGAAATTCCTAAATAACATGAAATTCTTTGGCCTAGACAGCTTTTTAAAAATAGTCCACCACTACATTTTTTATTAAAGGCCTATCTGATTTGCTTGGTTTTCAGGGGACCTGGTTCTAGCTGACTCAGTCACCCTCTGGGCTAAATTTGCAACCGTTCTTGCCCTCCCTCGGACCCTGTGGTTCTCTGGACGCCGCTGTGCATCGCTCCCATTCTAATGGGACTTCCATGACGGAGTGTGCACAGGACAGCCGGCGAGCACGGGGCGAACTGTGCCGAGTGCGTGTGCATGCCGCGGAGACACAGGCGGGGACTGAAGGGGCCAGCCCCCGTGTCCCGGCCACGGGAGCGTGACCTGCCACGTCTGAGACACCAGGATTCCCCCACCAGATCCTCGCACTCGATTCCGTCTGCCTGTGAGGACAGTGGATTTCCACAGCCCGGCGGCCCCCGTGCAGCCCATCCACGAGGGAGGGCCTCTCGGCCTCTCCGCCTCCCTCGGCCCCCGGCTGTGTTGCCCCCTGCGCACCTCGCAGGGGTGTCCTGCGTGCAGGTGTCTTCCCCAAAGCGACCTGCTGCGCCGACTTGAGCTCTCTTCAAGGAAAAACAACAGCAAAACCCCACTGTTTCCAAAACAAAGCATCTATCCAAGTTAAAATACCTCAAACAGTGTGCATTTCAAAATAGACTGTGAAGCTGTAAGCTGCTGCCCCCTGGCTCAGCGATCGAGAAGCACTCTGCTCCCTGGACCTTGAGCACTGTCCCTGTCCCTCACAGAATTCTGATACTGGCCCAGAGGACCACGGAGGGCACCTGGTCTGTCCCCGTCACTAGGCACAGGGAGAAACTGAGGCACGATGCTTTCAGCTCGGACTGAGGCTCTGGCTGAGAACACGTGGGCTCAGTGCAGCCCCAACCGTAGGGCTGGGGGCTCTGGGCTCTGGGGTTTGCGGTGATACAAGGGACAGGAGACTGAAGGGCGGTTCTTCTACTTCACCATTTACTTCCTCCTGTTACCAAACTCGCAGAACGAGCGTCAATGACTCAGGTCTCTCTTGCAAAGGCTACTTTTCCGCACCTTTTTACAGCCGTACATCGGATGGTAAAGATAATCTGACTTTTATAAATGAGCTCTCATTCCAGTGTCTTAGAATATTCCTTCGGCAAAATGACCCTGTCCCCTGGGCCGCCTGCCATGGGCATGGTCCCAATGGCACCCTCTGCTGAGCGGCCCCCACAGCCACGCATATCACGCAGTGTTCTAAGTGTCTATGAATCTCAGAGACAGGTGACAGCTGAGGTTAAACAAAGCCCTCAGGCGCTGAGCACGGACAGTGAACAGGGAGAACCATTTTCTGACCCACGGGACATCCGTACGTCCACACAGAGCAGGACACGGTCACTCACTCCCCAGCTTCCAGGATGTGCCGTGGGCACGGCTGCTGCCGTTTCAACTTCCCAGTCGGGTTTATCACACTCTACCCTCTTCCTAAGGGAGGAAGGGTTAAGGTTAGGGAGCTGTAAGAGGCTCCATCCGGGACACGGAGGGGAGCCACGCCTCCAGGAAGCCCGGCTCTGCCCAGTCCTGGCTGCCCACGTGCTGCGGGACTGGTGGTTAGTTCAGGGTTGTGAGTTTAGTTCTGAGTTTGAAAAATAAGTGAAATGATATTTTCAATGGGATACAAGTACCTTAATGGTGTCCTTTAAAATAAGGGTGAACTGAGAAGTTAGGACCCTTGAATTCAAAAGCTCTTGTTCACTTTGCAGTTAGCCACTGACATTCTAAAAGAGAAACAACAAGCTGGTAACAGTGGGCGCCCAGGGCAAGTGTAAAATGTCCCTGACACACGGGCCTGTCACTGTCCCCATGGCCACATCCTTGACACACGGGCCTGTCAAGGGCACGTTTCAATTACATGACCAACCTCCTAGGAGCAAACTGGGTGCGAGGACCCAGGGCAGGCCACCAGCTGCACAGGGGCTGGCTCTGCAGTGGCAGCTGGTCACCATGTCCACACATCCTGGTGGCCCAGCCCAGCTTGACCTCAGACAGCCAATGAGCGTGTATGATTTCCACGGCATCTGTCAGTCTCTCTGCAGAGACGGGAGGACACACCCGCACGAAGGCCGCGCCCAGGCTGCCCGTCCTTTCCGGGCAGCGAGAGGCGAACCTTGCAGTGGTGGGACTCACTGAACAGCCCTCCCAGGGCCTGGGGCGGCCCCTCCCTCCCTCCGGAGCGGCTCCTCCCCAGCCAGCTTCCTTGGGGAGTTTTCACTCACACGACCTGCACCCCGCACAGAAAGTTTCTCTGAGAGGGACGAGCGCACTCGGGGGGTACTTGCCGCTGAGCAGAGGCTTGTTGAGGGTGTACAGAGCGGGCAAGTCCTCTATGTTCGAGATCCGCTGGTACATGGCTCTGGAGAGGTGGTCCCCGTGGTAGAGGCTGCCCAAGATGATGCTCGAGAAGTAGATGGGCTCCACGAAGATGCTGAGCAGGGAGCCCTGGATGCCCACCACGTTCCACCTGCGGGCAGAGGGACAGGCCTCAGCGGGGGCTCCGCGCCCGTCGCGGCCCTGACGCCCACCTGCCCCGTGCATAGATTCCCTATTAATTCTGCACAATGTCGGCCAATCAAAAAGAGAGTACCTAGAAATAACTGATTTAGCAGTTTAGAATTTTTAAGAGAAAAATCAACTTAAACGTCCCTTTAGCTGTGGAATGACTTTTTCCCACAACAAACTTACTGAAGGTTCTAACAGTATCTCTGACCATTGCTCTGGAGTCCTTGAGAACCATAAACTGTCCGTTTCCTCTCCTTTGGCCAAATCTTGGAGTCGGGCTCCATTTAGCACGTGGAGGTGAGAGCCAGCCATGCCTGGCAGGGCAGGGCACACTCCCCGCCACTGGCCAGTCACCAGGCGCGGCAGCGGGGACCCTGCTTGCAGCACTGGGAGAGGCAGTGGCTACAGGGCTTTATTAAACCAGCCGTTCCCGACACTGAGGATCCCAGCGTTTGTTCGAACTCTGACTCATACGGCCCCTCAGACACGCCACCGCCCTCGCTCTCCCCAGCCCCACAGAGGAGGGACACCACACGGCCCCTTGGCGCCAGGCACCGAGCCCACGGGGCAGAGACGACACAGCCCGTGTGTTCCTGGAGCCCGATGGCTGCCTGGATGCAGACAAGCCGCGAAAAGGTAAATACGTGAGTCGAGAATTAAAACTTGAGAAGAAATCAATCTGGCAGGGAGCGAGGTTCTAGGAAAAGCAGAAGAGGGGTGCTGACTGCAGGGAGGGCTCTGAGAGGGTGGCCCTGAACTCAGCACCTGGGGGCATCTGAGGCGGAGGCAGGGAGGCCCACCCAGACCCAGCGTGGTGGGTGGGCGGGGGACAGGCCAGGGAAAGGGCAGGGCCAGGCAGCTCCTCAGGGCACACGTGCTCCTCAAGGCCTTTTGAGAAGGCGGTGGCACCACCTGATTTAATGGAGGTGTCTTCCTGGGAGGGTCTGACCCAGTGCTTTTCCGGAAGTGTCCTATCAGAAGTGTGGGGCAGGTTTGGCGGGACGACGGGTGAGTGGCCGCAGGGGAGCCGCCTCTGCAGGGCTGGTCGGAGATGGGGGGCAGCGAGATCAGGCCAATTCACAAACATTAGTGCTCCCCTCTGTCCACTCTCAGCACTGGCCACCAGCTGCCCAATCTCTGGCCCTGGTGGAGAGGGGGAGGTGGTGCTGGGTGGTCAGAGCTGTGAATGAACAGCGTCTGCATGAGCCCTGCCTTAAGTCCCAGTCCACCCAGCTCAAGCCAAATTCAGTCACACTCGCCTCCTCGTCCCTGTCACCAGCCAGTGGCCAGCAAACCTGAGAGACATCTTCTTTGAGAACGGACCCAGGAGCCACCCACCACTTCATCCTCCCCCACAGTCCCCACTCCCACACCTTCCCTCTGAAAACACAGGCCACACCAGGTCACGCCTTTGCACGAAAACCCCCAACACTCCATCTTCATCCCACAGCCGCCAGCCTGTCTGACCCGGCCCCCCCGCCCCCCAGCCGCAGGGCCTCCCACATTTAGGCCACCAGGGCCTTTGATGCCCCCTCCAGGCACTATCCTCAGGTTCTTCACCCCAGCACACAGTCCCCTGACAGCTCCCGGCCACAGTCTCCCCACCTTGGACTCTGCAGAAAGCCCCTCTTGATGCCCCGTCCCAGGCTCCTCCTGTGCCGACTTCCTGCATTACCTGCAGGCCTTCTTCGTATGACCTGTGCCCCCACCCACCCCGCCAGTAGGAAAGCTCCCGGAGGGAGGGACTGGTTGTCTGTGGCACCCACAGCTCTGTTCCAACACTTACACTGTGTACCTCGTACACACAGGTCAAGAAATACGTGCTCAGCCGACAAACCCTGCAATTCCTACAACGCATTCCTCCCACCCTCTCAAACAAAAATGGAAACACGGGTTTGCTATCGTACCAGAGAGCGCACGCCATGACTGGATGCCTTCCAAAACCACAGGGCACCCTTCCGCGCAAATTCAGAGAGCGTGTGTGGATGTAGGCCGCCTGTCCGCTGAATCCAGCCTCCTGGGCCCACTTTAAAACAGTGATTGAGCTCCACTTGTTTCAAGTCATTAGTTCCAAACACACGCTTTGAAAGAGAATTCCAGGAGCTTCTGACTGCTCTGCAGAGGGCCCAGTGGGGAGCAGTGTGCACACCCGCCACCTCTGCTGATAGCCTCCCACCGAAGGGCCTTACAAAGGACAGCGAGGGCTGGAATTCATTCGCCAGGGGTAAAAATGCCCAGTGAGGGCTGGGGAGGGGGGCCAAGGGCCTGGCACTGCTGAGCCAGGCTCCACACTGTTGAATGCCCCCAGTGAGCCTGTGCAAAGACGGGGAACCTGGCACAGACAGCTGCTGAGGGGAAGCCGCTCCCTGGGGAGGCTGCAGGGTCCACGGCAGCTTGCCGGGACACTCGCTGGGGGCAGAGCCGCACGGGTGCTGAGGCTGCCCATGCCAGGCTCACCCCCCGGCCTCTCTCTCCTTCATCTGCCTTACGCCAATTCCTAGCGGACAGGGTCCAGAGTGCTGCCACGTGTGACTGTTCCTGGGTCCGTCAAAGGCCTGGTCCTGCCCCAAGAGGCTGAGCACATCAGCAGCCAGCGGCCAGCCAGACCAGGAGTCACAGGGCAGCTCCGACCCAGCACAGCCTCCACGGCCACTGGCCCAGAACATCAGGACCCGGTCAGCCGCCCCAACATTCGTCCCTGCCCCCAACCTGGGACCACCCAGAGACAGCCCAGATGCCCACCACCAGAGGAGGCCTCAGTTCTGGCTAGCTGACCCACAGCCTCCGTGCAACACACCTGAGCTGAGCCCCCTCCCTAACTAGAGCTGCACCCCCCACTCACCCACACTGAGGGGGCGGGCCCCCTGCTATAGCAGCTCCGAATGAACAAGCTGTCTGCCCTCAGGCGGGTCTCTGCTTCCCTCCACAGTGCACAGAGGCCAAAGTCACCAGGTCTGAGACCCTGGTGCCTTCCCACAGCCCAGTTGACGAAACTCACCATGAGATGGTCAACCAACTCTCACTTGTGCCGCCTGGGGGGTGGTAGCTGCCTTCAGCCACACGGCCCACCTACCTGGTGACCCCAGCAGTAGCTGCACCTCCTCCCCCCCCCCCCCCCCGGCCCACCCTGGCCGTCACCGCCAAGCCTGCCCTCTGCCACTGCCCCCATTTCCTGCCCCTCAGGCAGGGACATACGGGACACGCTTTGTCCGTCTGTAAGAGACACAGGACATCTTGCCCAGCACCTGTCCACAGCCTCTCATCCATGACAGTCACTCAGGAGGCTGTTCATTTCACTCCCCCAGGACAGGACTGGAGGGCTGCAGACGGCAGGCGGCGTTCTGGCCACCACGGCCGTTTCTGGGCCATGGCCGGTCTGTTGTCTGGCCATGGCCATCTGTCCATGTGGTATCGAATAGTAAGCCCTTTTCAACCTCACCTGGGTCTATGCAAATGAGGTGACTTTAGGAGGATGGGGGCCAGTTGCCAGGGGAACTGAACACAGAATCAGAGCAGGGGGGAGAGGAGACGGGATCAAGTTGATCACTAATGACCAAAGCCTCACTCAGCTGTGGCTGTGTGACGACAATCTGCCTAAGACCTGACCCAAGGGGGCTCGGGAGCTTTCGAGCACAGGAAGAGCCTTGCACCTCATCCCCCAGGCATCTCTTCCACGGGCCCGTTCCTGACTTGCGTCCTTTACAATAAAATGGTAAATTAAGTTACTGTATTCCCAGAGTTCTCAGAGCTGTTCTAGACACATCATCGACCCTGAAGAGGGGTCAAGGGAACCGGGATCTGCAGCCCAGACAGAAGCGTGGGTGCCTGCCCAGTCTCACGGACTGCGCCATAGCCTGTGGGGCTGCGCTGACCCCAGCGCCGTCAGGATCGGCCTGGCTTGCAGAACCGGAGAGCCGTGTGGTGCGGGGCCCAGATGCCTGGTGCCGGAGGTGCTGGGAGGGGCAGGCTGTGGCCGTGGTCCCCAAGTTTCCCTTCTACGGGCATCCTTCTTCCTTTCGTCCTGGCTTGTCCTGGCTTTTCCCTCCGATGCCGTGCCGTCAGGATACAGCGGGAGGCACAGAGCACAGGAGTGCACATCTGAGTTTGACTTGCGTACATGTGTGACCCCCATTTCACTGAGACACAGCACTCACAGGCCCCCCAGCCAAGCCCCTGCCGGCAACGCCCCTGTGTGACTGAGCAGGCAAATCTGAAACTCTTCCCAATGCTGGCTTTTCTCTCAACTCTATCTATGGCAGTTTTGGTAACTAAGTTTAAAATTTAAGTTTAGTCACATTTATTCACGTTTTCTTTATAATTTGGCTTTCTGTGCTTGCAAAGTGGAAGCCACAAAAACTGCCAGGCACCACTCTTTACCCAGGTCCTTACTCATTGGGAACGTACCTTTGCGGCGGACAGAGGGCTTGCCTTTGTTCACACGGACAGTTTGTCAGCCAGTTCCTCTCCCCGGTGAGCCGAGACTGCAGCAGAGGCTGCGGCTGCTGCCCCGAGGTCCCTGCCTTCATTCGAGCAAGAGCCTCAACTCCCCTATTCCAGACGGCACCCTGTGGTCACTGCAGATCAGTTTGCGTGTTCCAGACATGTGCATGAGTAGGACCACACAGTGAGCACTTTTTTTTGGTCTGGTTTCTTTCACTCTAATTGTTTTGGGATTTGTCCATGTTGTCTGTGTATCAGATGAGGAGCAGGAGGAGGAGGAGGACCTGTCTGAGCGGCGCCCACCGCATGGGGCAGCCGTCGTTTGTTTAGCCCCAAACCACTGGGGCCACCTGGACCACTCCCAGTTTTGGACATCGCAAAGGAAGTCAGACGCGTGTCACTATAAATCTGTCCAAATCCAGGGGGTGTATGCCACCAAGAGGACCCTGTGTAAACTGTGGATGTGGGGTGGTTATCCTGTGTCAGGGCAGGCTCGCCCACTGTCACGGTCCCTCTGTGGGGGCGCGGGTAGAGAGGATATGGAAATCCCTGTACCTCCGTCTTAATTTTGTTGTGCATCTAAAACTGGTCACAAAAAAATCTTTAAAAAATGTGTAAGATGGTAATTTTATATCATGTGTTTTACCACAGTAAAGAGAAATCCACGGTGTTTGTCTGCACCTGCAATAATCACACAGAGTGCACAGCAGCTAACGAGATAATCATCACACTAACAACACAGAAAGGATAAAGTTCTAGGAATTAATCTGTCAAAAACTGCCTAACATCTTTGTGAAAAACTGTAAATGACATAAAGGAAAAAGTTTAAATATGGAGAGAGATACACAATATTCATGGATGGACTGATTTAACTTTATGCCAGTTCTTTCCAAGTCAATCTGTAACTTCAACGTAATTCCATGTGAAATGTCAGAAGACAACCAGAGACACTGGAAACGCTGACTCTGAAACATGTGCGGAGGGACAGAGGCTCCCAAAGAGACACCAGAGGTCTGAGAAACAGAAAAGGGGTAGAGAATGACAGTCTTCCCCGACCAGACCTTCAAACACATCGAAATGCCAGAAAAACTACAGAATGTGTGCGATGACAGTGAACCGCAGGCCGATACAGAGCTGAGGGTCTGGGGACAGGCCCGGCCTTGTGGGGGCTCAGTGCACAACAGAGGTGCCTTCGCAGATCGGCGAGCGAATACAGATGGTTCAGCGGTGGGACTGGGAAAACGGGCCCACTGACTCAGAACAAGGGAGCAGAATTATTCCTGACAATGCACATGTATTAAAGACCTACGTGTGAAAGTCAAATGATAAAGGTCTTAGAAAGAAGTCCAGGAGGGTACTTTTATGCCCTTAATTTGAGAAGGGACTTCTTAGGTAAGATCCTAACAGTGAAAATCATGGGGTGACACATTCATGGATGAATTTACATCCAAATTAGGGGTTTCTATTGAATAAAATATGGCACAAAGTCAAGAAGGACTCAGAAAAGACATTGAATCACCTCCAACTGCTAAGGATTACAGCACAAACTAAAAAAGGAACTTCTACAATCCAGATGAAAAAAGCATGAGATCCGAAAGCCAAACAACCGGGTGTGAATGGGAAATTCAGAGGAGTAGGACAGGCAGTTGAGGAAATGGGCGACGTTCCTTGTGAGAAGAGAAACACAAACTAAAACCGAGAGACACCGATTAGAAACACAGAAAAGCTGACCTCACGTGTGCTGTTGGTCAGCGCAGCTGGTGGGACTGTGTGGGCACGCCCGCCAGCACGGTGTGACGGTCCGCCCGTATCCAACCCCTGGGGTGCAAGGCCTCTAAGGCGCTGTGTTTGGGGGACTTCAAGGCTGCACGGGGAAGGGAGTTCGAGGAAATCCTCATTTCCACCATGAGGGGATGGACACGACGTGGCCATGACTGGGATGTACTAGTAATCCACGGGCTGCTCACGACCACATCAGGGAGAGTCCCCCCGACACGGGGTGAGTGAAAATACAAGGTGCAGGACGGGATCTGAAGCACAAGACGATTTCTGTACACTAACAACATACACATGAATACCCTGAAGTGAAATGACTGTGTATTTTTCAAGGACACGCACATGCAGAAATGGACACAAAGGGCGTGTAGTAAGTAAACATGTCGTGTGGGTGCCCCTGCTGCGCGGATCAGGCTTCGTGTCCCTGAGCTTCCCTGATGGAGGCCAGTGGAGAAAGTCACGACGAAGGCTTGTGAACAACCAAGGAGGTGTGTGAACACGTCTGCCCCGACAGCTGTCTGGGTGAGGGGGGGGGATGCAGCCAGGAGCCCACTCCAACGGGCCACAGGGAGTTTGGAAGGGGAGATTTTCATTCTACACACTTTTCTACCCTTTCACCTTTTTCAAATAAACATTTGCTGAAAGATAAGGAACTACTGGAATGGAGGCCAGCATCCGAAGGAGTGGGGTTTTCGGAACATGGACACGGGCTCCTGAAAGAATGGCCTCCCCGGGGGGTGCAAACTCCACGTGTGCCTGCAGCGCCCGCCCTCAACCTGCCCACCAGCAGCTCTCCGTGTTCAGAGCAGAACGCCCGAGATGGGTGTCGTGTTGTTTGTAAATGGAAATGCCAGCTACCCCAAACTAACTCAACGGCGAATGTGAGCATCACAGTCTCACCTACGATGGAGGAACTACACCTTCTCCGGGAAAAAATTGTTTTAAAATGTCGTCACAGCGCAACATGTCAGTTCACCATGGAAGCCACACGTAACAGTAATAACCAAGGGCAAGGGGCAGCCTGGAGCCTCCTGGGTAAAGGCCCACCTCCATCCCCTGGAAGGGTCCTGGAGCCCCTCTGGAGCCTTAGTCATTCAGAGAATGTGGGGGAATGTTGGGGACAAGACCAGACTGATCAGCAAGCCTGTGGGGCTGACTGGCACACTGAGAAGGGCCTGGGAACAAGCAGGGGTGAGTGGTGCAGAGGGGCAGCCAGGTGACCCGGGGGCCTTACCGTGCCATCTTGTCGCTGCAAGACATGGTGAGCAGCCTCTCCCCCTGCAGCACCCCGTCCCACGTCTGGATGCTGGAGTTTGAGCGCACGGGGATGGTGCCCTCCCCAGACTCTATTTTCGTCCGCAGCTGGCCTCTGGCTTTGCGGTTCGGGTGTCTGTCTGCTGGTTCTGAGAGAAGCGAGAGAAGGAAACCGTGTGTTTCACTCGCTGGGAAACGCACCAGACTCCGCGCCGCAGGTTTACAACGCAGTTTACGTCTGTGCGCACGGCTGTATTCTGTATCCATGGGATCTACGTGAAGCATATGTGTACAAGGTTGGACAGGAAGAATATAACACAAGCCAAATTCACCGAAGTGGCCTTGTGAGGGGTTGGGGGGAAAGAGGGCTTCTTTCTATTAACCAAAGTGATCGGTTTCTATCACTAAAAAGCAGTTGAAGCAAATAGGATGACAAAATGCTAACATTTGTTAATTCTAGGTGTTGGATATCTGCTTATTATATTTCCTCATTTTTTGAAATTTATTAAATTTTAAAAACCCCCCACAGGGGTGCAGAAATAAGCTCATGGAAGTGTGTGCCAACGTCCACAGTGATCGCCTCTGGGTCACATGGACCTGGGTGACTAAATTTTCCTTCTTATTTTAAAAATATTTACCAATTTCTCATAGTGGGGATGTGCTGTTCCTATAATTGAGGAACATAACATAATCAAATGTTCCATTTGCAATAAATAATGGTTAAGTGTGGGAGCGGAGACGTGGACACCAACTTGTACAAAGCCAAACCAAAGGACTGACAGGACCTCGGAGACGGGTGGGGAAGCGCACAGGACGGGGCCTCCTTTTTCATTGGTCGCACGTTGGGAATCTCAGCCGAACGCTCCAATTATACAGTGACTAAGTTAACACTCATCAGATATATGGAAGAGGATGTACATCGCTGATTTAGTGACACGTTATCCAAATTCAAGTGCCGAAAGCAAATCTGATCAGATAGCCTCACTCCATTCCAATTTCTTAGTTTATGAGAGTCAACATTTTTCATCCAATAAAACTTTCTAATTAATTATTCACTGAAAAGTAAAACCTCAAGCTTTTATATATTCCTCAGATCCACAATCAAGGCTGACATTAAAAAGATACTAATGTAAGTTTATTGTTCTGTCTGTTGCTACACAGCCATGAAGTTTGAAACACTGCCGACTACCAGGAAACCTGGTCACACCTTCCAGGATTGGTTCGTGTGGAGAGAAAATCCTGGCGTCCCCACAGGGAGAGGTGCTGATGTACAGATGGAACTGGACGCTGTCCTTCAGCTTGAAGCCTCCCCGCTCAGACTTCTGGAAGATGGACTTTTTCTGATCATCTTTGTTACTGAAAGGAAACAAGATGCAAAATAAACTTTCTAGCTGTATGTGGTCAAAATCCAGTCTCTCCCAGCTCACTGTGATTTCAAAGGAGCATGTTTTCAAAGGGGTACGGAGAAGCTTGGGCTGGGCTCTTTACTTTACACGCTTGTGATAATTCGCACAATTCCTGTCTGCTCAACAATGGGCATGTCATCAAAATGTCAGTGTTTCTCCTTTCTTTCCTATTGATGACTCCAAACAGTGACTGTGTGCAGAGATGGTTTTGTAGAGAAAAGCAGTGCAGACCCACAGTGGGCTGACTTTAGGCACGGTGACCAAATAAAATGACCACGTTCACCAGGCAGTGGAGTTCTGTTGATGTCCAACTGCGAGAAACACAGCATAGAGTCACGCACAGATCTGACACCTGCGATGCTGCTGTGTGTGCATGCACACACGTGTGCACATGCGTGTGCCTGCTGTAATTCAGCCAACTCTATTTGTAGCTGGAGCATCATGGGAAAACGGGCTCCAACCTTGCTGTTGCCAACAAAGCTACCGTTTTGAGAACCTTCCAGTGAAAGTTTTGCAGTGCTTTCTGACTCAGGGGGAATACTTTTTAAAGCAGCTGCCTCTACTTACTTACTTACTAGACTTACTTTAGGTAAAGCTCAAGCTGTGTGTAAAGGAATCTAAGCAAGGACCTCCGAGATATGATCTCTGCGTGGCAGTCATTCAAAGCAAGGCCACGGTCACTCATGTACTCGCCGTTAATACATTTCGTTCCTGTGGAAACACATATCACTTTGGCATCTTTAACGTCCGTGCCTAGAAAACAAGAGAGACCGTTCCTCTAAGTCACCGTCCCGCACCCACCTGCACCCCTGGGGCCTGAGCGTCCCCCGAGAGGGTGCCTTGCAGAGCAGTCAGGTCCTGTACACAGCCCCCACCCCCGGCAACTGCAGGCCTCCCAGGGATGAGCGCTGCGAGACTCCTGGAAGTCAACTGTCCTCACGATTCAGTGCGAAGGCTCTAAATGTAAGCAAGTTGCTTCCTCTGGAATGGAATAGTTTTTTCTTGAACAGTCCATGTTGGACACAAATAGGAAGCCCTATGTGAAAGTAGACTAAATAGTCTAGTTGTTGATATTGAAATTAACATTGGAGCACTACAGAGGCGCTGAGGAAGGGACAAGGGGAAAACAAGTCCCTCACGGCACGCAGTTAGGGGTCCCTGGCGCCACCTCACTGTGCTTCCGGGAAACACTCCACCCCCAGGAACCTCCAGAAGAGTAAGTCTGTCAACAGACCATGTACTGCAGACTCACTGCAAAGGCCCTGACCGTCACCGGGCAGACTGCACCACCAGCAGCTACAGAACGGCGGGGCACCCCGAGGCGGGCAGTGAGCTGCGTCTACCAGGTGAGGTATTCTCACTCCCTTCCCGTGATCTGAAGGTGCGTACTACCACTGTCTCCATTTCGCAGAGCAGGAAGCTCAGGCAGAGGGGTCAATAACCTTCCCAAGGTCATTCAGAGAGCGGAGGCCATCCGAGGCCAGAACCCCGAGCCCAGGGCTGCGTGGTCCTGCCTGCAGATGTAAACTGCAGCTCTGAGCAGCCTCCCAAGGGGGCTTCACGCTGAGCTCCAAATGCTGCCCCGAGGCCAGCTGCCTCTTCCAAGGTCGGGCGAAGAGCTGGGGGACAGCACCGCACCCCTTCCGTGTCTGCGGAGGAGCCACAGAGCCTGGTGGGAACTGCTGTCTCAGCCACTCACTGCTCAGTTATGTAAATCACACGAGTAAGGAGAGAAGAGGGAGGAGAACAGAGGTGCCAATGCCACAGAGCACCTGAAATCCATGTCACCGATCAGAGCTCTGCACCCCGCCCCAGACACGAGCTCGGCTGCACCAGAGCCCACACACCATGGCAGAGATCGCTGCAATGCAAGAGTCCTCACGCTTCTCAAGGCACGGGGGCCCAATGCCTCGAGTTACAGAATGGCGGCCTCTCCCCACTGGGTCAGAGAACTACCTCGGGAGGGGCGGGCAATGCACCCACCTCCACCCAGAGCAGGGCTTGCTCCCTGCCAGCGAACACAGACCCACCATTACCGGCCCCTCACTCCCTGGCCTCCCTGGCCTGTTTCCTACACACGCCGTGGACACCGCCAGCAGAGAGGGGCCCCGGTAACAGAGGTGGGGTCCTTTCTCCATGTCCCTGCCTGCCCCACTGCGGGGATCCAGGCACCGTCAGGTGGAGGCTTCCTGTTCCTGGGACCCGCCCACAAAGATGCAGCGGGAAGTCCCACTCCTGGGTGTGGGGCGGGGCCCTGGGGAACGGCCAGACAAGTCGAACCGGTTCCCCCTGCCGCCCCAAACAGTGCTTTCTTCCCCACAGACTTGTGACTCTCGCCAGAGCCCCGGCTCTCCCCCACGGTCACACAGTCACACGGAAACCCGCCTGGCAGCACCAGCACTAACTGCTAACCCAGAGGTGCCCTACTTTCTGGTGCAGCAGGAATTAACGCCTCCTGCAGCTTTCCGAGCAGCTCTGACCAGGACTGTGGGAATCCAGTATTAACAGGCTGCTTCCCCAAATAAAAAGAACTTAGGTTGAAAGGATGGACATTTGGGAAAATATGTAAGTACGGTTCCCACATTTGCAGGTGGCAGACATTCTGAGAAGGACAAGACGATTTTCCTGTCAGAGTCAGAGATCTGTACAGGGCAAGATGTTTACCTGTCGTCATGACGATTCCAGCAAGAACCTTCCTGCGGGCATGCGGGGAGGAGAAGTTGTCCGTCAGGTCCCCAAACTTATCCAGAACCAGGCGGGCCACCGCATCCGCTAACACCTGAGGACCACAGAGGGGGTTAGGCGCCTGCACCTACCTGCCTGCAAACGCCAACGCGAGCTCTCCCTTCAGAGGGTGACGGCACAGATGGCTCCTCTTCTGGAGAGTCCCGCAGCAAAGCTGGCAAACGAGCGTGTGCGTGCATTTGCTCCAAAACATTCAAAGGAAACACACCCACGGAGCATGCAAAGGCCATGGCTGGAGTCTTTCGACAGTGTTTGGAGGGCGTGGACGGCTTGGGCATGTGAGGCACCCCCTGCTGCCCCTCTCATCTCCACAAGGCACCAGCCCCGCCCTCTAATGAGGACATTGAGGTGCAGGGTGGCTACAGTGCCTTCCTGGGGTCATCTGCCTCCCCCTCCACTGCTCTGAGTGTCCAGCTCAGGCTGGCAAGGCCAGGAGCCCACTCTTGGGTGTGCCACCCAGTGTCTGGGGCAGAAGAAAGGGGCAGTAAGAAGCACGATCAAACTGAAGAATCATAAGCTTTGTGCAGCACCTCCCCCTCAAAGGTCTCTGCCCATCAGGTGCCTCCATCATTTCAACACCGGAGGCAAACCACTCCGGCTCAGTCTCGCTCTCAGAATCCAGCACTGACCAGAGCCTGCAGGGCAGCGGTCACTCGGATCGAGTGACAGCAGGACGCTCCAGGGAAGGCGCTCAGTGAGGCTGGTCACACTGCGGCTGGCGTGTGACCAGCTCCGACAGCACCTGTGCTACAGGGAGAGCTTCTAGAAGCTGACCTCTCTGTTAGATTTGGGGCGTGTCTATTTTTATGACTCAGGGTTTACCGTGATAATGGGGACCCTTTGTGGTGCATAACCGTGTGTGTATAAGAGCCACACTGGACCTACACGCCCTCAATCTCACACTTGTCTTGACAATCAAATGGCCCAATCTAGTGTCCCCACCGTGGCTCTTAAAACAACACTCTCAAGATGAATAAGAAAGTCACTCATCCTAAATGATGACTTATTTGCAAAAATCACAGTTGTCAGTAAATTTTGCTCCCGTCACTGTGCCAGCAAATTCCAGTGAGCCCCAGGGGAGAGTGGGCTGAAGGGCCAGGCAGGGCCCGAGGGCCTCTCCTGGCACCTGGCAGAGGCCTCGATGCTGCAGAAGTGAGCACACAGCCCAGAGAAGACCACAGACAGAGGCGGGTGGTGCAGCCGCACACAGCGAGGGTACCAAAGACAAAGGACGACACTTTCCAACTCACACAAAGGGAAAACCAATAAGATGTTAGAGACAGAGCAGATAAAACTCTCTTTTCATAAAAATTAGGCGTATCTGCACATTTTCAGAGAAAAGCACAAGAGTCACATCTGAGTTCAGATGGAGGTCGGGCATTTCTGCACACACCTACTTACTTGTTCGATGCCAGCATTTGCACACACGGACAGTCACTGCACCCCCCTTAACGAGGTTACTACCTCACTCTCTGTGGGTAATGAAGCGTCTCTCCCTCCAAATGTGGCGGTGGATATGACAGGGTCATGTGTTCATAAACGGCACCCCCACAGGCCCCTGGTACCCCTCCTGCAGCAATACTCAGGGGGAGAGGCGCTGCAGCTTGGCTGAACCACTGCACTAACATGCACTGCTCACAGGGTGCTTCGTACTCGCCATGTGGTCAATGGCGCCCAGTTTTTAAACTCTCTAGTGCCGCTGTGAACACCATGAAGGGAAAGGATCCCACAACCAGTGACGTCTGACCTAAGCAGCTCCACTTCCTCAGGCCTCAGGGGCCAGGGAGCACAGAAGTCCTGAAACTGCCACTCAGCACCTGCGGCACCTGCAAGCGGTGTGGGCAGGGCTGGCACTAGGGCGGCCCCTCCCCCCATGCCCTTCCCTGCAGGACTCCCACACATGCCCTCCCCACAGATGCTGCACAGGCCCAGCCCCCCCCAGGCCAGGGGCTCTGGTCACCGCTGCTCCACTGAGCCCGGCCTGGGGGTGGGGCTGCGAGTGCACACGGGTGCACATGCGCACACACACACAGACCCCCTCTGCCTCCCCTCTGCCACGTTCCGCATCTGTACTGCACAACCTGGCACCTGGGAGGCAGAGTGCTCAGTGGGCTTCATTCTCTTCTTACACACGGCCCTGCTCACGTTTGGGGAACACAGGTCAAGTCAGGTGTTGTTCTGAACTCAAGCTGACATAGTTCAGCGGACAGTAAACCTGAAAACTAAAAAAACCACTTGGGAACGAGTGCCACTGATCTGTAAGACTATAAATGGCCTAAGAGCAAGAAGTCAACACTGGATGCAATTATTTGGTTCATAAAAAATCAGCACATTACCGTGAGCCTGCTACTTCATAGGGTACTGCATGACGTTGCTTTAAAAATAAATTTCCTCCTTTTAAATCTGAAGGCCTTGGTCATCTCAGGGAGCATCTGAACCCAGGTCACTTGAACTGGTTTGAAGGTGAAAGACAGGCTGACATTTGCGGTCTTTCTGAGAGAATACAGACCTGCCTATTAATACCAAGTCCTTCATCTTTCTGATCAAACCGCTACATATTTTATCCTCAAACTGAATAGTGCTTTGACAAGAAGGAATAAACAGACAAGAAGGACAGGTTTTCTCCCTAAAAGACTGGTTTTTACAGTAGACCAGAGAATTTTGAATTTCTAAGAAAAGAAGCAATAAGCAAGCAGAGGCGTAGGATTTGGAGAGGATACTACGTGTTCCTTCCCCTTTGGCTTCCTCCTCCACATACGCCGACCTGGGCCCCCCTGAATGTTTCCCTGTGTTCACCCTGATATTAGGAGGTGTGGGGTCCAAGACCAAACGTAAGAGCAGCTGCCCGCTCCGGCCAGGCAGGAGGGAGCCTGTACGAATCCCAAGTGGTGAACGCCAGGCACAGAGAGACCCGGATGCCTGGTGGGCCCTGGAGCACTTGCCTGAGGGCCCCTACACCCTTTGTCCCCCTGACACGTCCTCCCTACTGCCATGGGCTTGGGAATGTGGCCACCGGCCAGTCCTGCTGCAGCCCAGAGCCCCACCACCCTTGGGTTTCAGGAGCTGACAGGCCAACTCACTCATCTTGCGCCCCCAATCCCAGTGAGACTTGGGAAAATCCCCCAGGCCAGGGCAGGTTCCTGTGTCCGGAACACCTGTGTCACCCCAAGGAGGGGTGAAGCTCAGCATGGACAGGGCTGACCTCACTGCCCTAGTGTCCCCGCCCTGTGCCTCAATAGCCTTGGGCCGGCTGCCCAGGGACAACGTGGCCAGCAACATCTAGGCGAGCCTGTGCAGCGGCCACACTTACTGGTCACTGTGGTGAGGACAGTGATGGAAGATGGAAAAGTCAACCGTGGCATTGAAACTGAGCCCTGTCTAAAAGCAGGATCAGGCTGTGACCAGACTTTTCTCACCTGGGGTAAGTGCAACTGGAGGCCCTCGCTGAGGATGGGCTGGCGAGACGGCGTCTGATCCAGGTGCAGGTTGAAAATGGCGGCCAGGGCGGACTGCGCGGCCCGGGCCTTGGCCAGCTTTTTGTTCCTTCCCGAGCCTTCGAAGAACTGGCCGTCCACGACCACCGACATGACAAAGTTCTTGGCGTGGCTCTCCCCGCTCTCCGAGAGGAAGTCGTACTTCAGACCCGGGCGCAGCTCATTCAGGATCATCACGGGGTTCTTCCCGCTGGGCAGCGGGAACGGTGGGAGGGCCGGGAGCGGGGGCTGGATGAGGCTGGTGGGCACCGGGGACGCCGACAAGCTGAGATCCCCGCTGGAGCTGAAGGAGTCGTCGCCGTTGGAGCCCATGTAAAAGGGCACTTCTGACCGGTCCGGCGTCTCGAAGCCATTGAAGAGCGTGTCGGGGAAGTCGGCCTGGTCGGAGGTGAAGTCCGTGTTGGCGGACAGGCCCCGCCCCATGGCCAGGTGGGCCTCGGAGGCGTTGGGGAACTGGACGAAGGAGCGCAAGGCCTTCTCGGCTGCGTGCAGCTTGGCCTTCTTCTTGGTGGGGCCAGAGCCCTCGAACACCTGCCCGTTCACCTCCACGGACATGACGAAGAGCGGCGCGTGCACGGGCCCCGTCTGGGACAGCAGCGAGTACTGCAGGCCGGGCTTGATCTCGTTCAGCTGCATGAGTGCGTTCTTGGGCAGGGCCGGCCCCGGTGCCCTCCTCCTCTTCTTCAGGCGGAACTTGGCGTGCCCATTGCTGCCCTCGTCCAGGGGCCGCTTCCTGCTGGCAGTGCTGCCACCCCCGTTGGGGAGCAGGCAGCCATCGGCCAGCCCCGGCGTGCCGCCATCCCCGGGGGGCCCGCGGCCCGCGCTGCCGCTGTCCTTAGCCTCTGTGCTGCTGGAACCTGTGGTGCCCAGAAAGAGCAACTTACAACGCCTTCGTTGCAGGATCTTGTAAATGCAAAATTTATGGATTCCTTTATCTCTCTTTGTAACTGGGTAAGTGATGTGTGTCCTACGTTGTCCCTGCTGCCTGTCCGGGAGGGGCTGCACCTTGAACCCCCAACTCGGGGCCTCAACTGACCTGGGCCACCAGACACCTCACTGAACAACAGCTCTCACCATCTCTATTTATTGTCACCAACTGCTTTTGCACTAACGGGTGAATTTTAAAATCACTTTTATGAGAATATTTTGGAGCATCGAAGCGCGGCACGATAGACGTGTCCAGGAGACCTCACATGAGTCAGTCTAGCCTCAGCTCTGACAAGTGCTGAGTCAGCCCGTCATTCCCCTTCCAGAGGCACTTAACTCTCAGTGGCTCTGAACTGCGGCCTCCCGTAGAGGAGGAAACGTGGTTAAAAGCAGCATTTACAGGCTGATTGGTTTTCCAGGTTCCAAATATTCGGTCAGTTTGTGCATTTATTTGATTTAGTTCATGAATCAATCTTAGAAATCTGCTTATGTAATCATGTAAAGTATCCTGGCTGCTTAAAAATGATTTCTGAAGGACAGAGCTTCATTCTTAGTATTCATTTAAACATTTTTACTATATGCGGGGATTGATTTACCTCCGAATCCTTAATATATTCTGCAATAGAAAAAAATGTGTAGGAGGAAAATGTAAAATTGAAGCTGCAGGCAGGCTACAACTTCATAACTAAAGCTGGAAATTTTGTCTTTTAAACATTTTTTAAAGCAAACATTTGATGGACTTATGAATAACTTGGTTGTTCAACCTTTTAAAGGTAGCTTATATTTATGATTAATAAAGATAATTTTAGTACATTATAAGTTCATGGCCAAATAAATATGATTTTCATTTCAAAAAAGGGTGTAAGAAGCACTTACTCTTCCCTTCATGTTTACCAAGCTTTTTGAAAAAGAATAGTAAGCAACTCCCGTCTCCCTGCTCGGTCCCGGGCCGCCTGGCGCGTGAAGCGCAGGAGTGTTGATCGCGGGCCGTCCAGGTGCCAATGTTGTGGAATTTAAAGGCCTACCACTAGGTTCCGAAACCCACACTGTATCTTGTGAGTAATCAAAGTCGTTTTTACAACATACACCAATTTAGAGGTGCCCAGTATAGTGGCTTGGGTCTATTTCAACAACCTAATATAAAAGCAGACTCATCACGCTAAGCAAACTTCATCGGCTCTACCCATGGGAGGCCTTAACGTGACATAAAGTCAGCTGCCAATACCACAGTGGATTTTCTTCGCATTCCTCGGCTGTCGGCATTCAGCCCGGAGGTAAAGAATGGCCCTGGTTTAAGCACGGCCCATGGGAGACCAGAGGCTGGCGGCAGCAGAGATCGAGATGGGAAAGCTTTCTCTGCAGGCGGCCCTGCTCCCGGGTCCTGACACACACACACCACTTCCCCCAGTTGACAAAGCTGACGGAATAGACACTAAATTTTCATTTATAACATCCTCCAGCAAAAGCTCGATAGGTTACTCCTTTCGGTGCTCAGAGGGAACAAAAGGTGAGAAGGGCAGAGCAAGACAGGTCAGATGAGCGAACGGCGAGGACGTCACACGGATGGCCGCTGACATGCCGGGGCTCCTGCCAAACAGAACTAGCGATACAGACACTCAGGTCACAGGTACATTCTGACACGCACTTGACCAAATATTTATATCCTCAAACAACCAAATGCTTTCCTTTAAGAAATTAAAATAATCAGTACTGGATTGACAATCTTGTGATTGTAGGAAAAGTATACTTTTTTATAATGTAGTTCACAGAAATTCTAAGTTTTCATTTGCTTCAGAAGCACTGAAATACTACTCGTATTCTATCTTATTAAAATGCTACCAGATAAAGAGAAAACAACAAAAGTGGAGGAAGACCTCCCCACTACCACGATTCTTCCCAGTCACTTTCTCTTCACACACCATGCTACTCTGTTTCATGAGTGTAACTGTTAATCATGATAACATTTTTTGTTGCTTTCAAAATGATAAAAACAGAGAACTGGCATTGCTAAGTTTCAGCACTTAAGCCAGCAGCTTATCTGTACAGAGAAATTATTCAGAAGGATTCTTTATCTAAATTAGCACAGGGTAAGTCTGGAGACAGTTATACAATCCACACTCTGTGACACTTCCACCCAAACCAGACGACCGCTGCTGCGGGTGACGGCCCCCAGTCCCAGCAGGAAGGAGGCGGGGGACAGGCGCACTCTTCACGGAGAACAGTGCGCAGGAAGAACTGGACATGGCGAGTGGAACTGGCCAGTAAAAGCACAGGGCTGGTTCCAGAGGACGTCAGGAGCAGGCTATGATGGCGACCAGGCAGCGGGAGGCCACGCACAGGTCGGCAGGAGGACGGGCACAGTGCCGTGTGCTCCTGCAGCACGACTGGTCAGTTGCCCATGCTGGTGTCCATCCCAGAGGCACTGACTTCAGCCAGAGAGAGCGTCTACTGCGCAGTTCATAGGACCAAGACCCAGCCCACCCTATCCCACCTATGACCGAACTCACGGAGCAGCCTGTGTGCAAGGCAGGGCGTTCTGCTGCGTGAACCTCTGGGTTCCCTGTGTAATCGAGCCAACTCCAGGCCTCAGCGGGTCGGTTTGGGTGAAGTCACAGAGAAAGGGACCGAACTGTGTTCTGGTCACAGATGACCACTCTTAGTAAAATGTCACTCAACATTTAGACCTGCACATTCTTTCTTGGAAGCAACGAACGCCAACTGGTAAGAACGGGCATAGGCACCTGTGCCGGGAAAAGGATGTCTTTGTAGCAACTGCCCTGCTACAAGCTCCCAACTTCTGTGGGCACATTTAAGCCTTATTTAAACACACTGCTCTCTGGGTTTAAAGGTAAAACAGAAGAGAAGTGCGTCCACTGGACTTTTCAGAGAGAGCAGCGTGGCGAGGAGGAGCTGGCCAGCCCTGAACCTCTCCGTTGCCTCCGTCCCTCCACCCCGGAGAGGACAGTGTGGGAAGAAAAATGGCCCAAGGTATTTCAGGCCACACTGGTCCCAAGGCTCACGAAAGTCTGGGAACTTACAATCAGCGGATTCCTGTGAGCCGTTCCCCTCACAATGTGGGAGAACCCACTGTATTTGAACAGAAGATGCATGTGCTGTTATTTCAGATGGCCAGGTACTTAAATCCACCTCAAAGATGATCTTGTATTTGCACAGAATGATCTGACTCTCACCGTGACAACCAGGCTGTGACTAAGCATGAAGCACGCAGCTTCATGAGATGTGCGCCTGGAGGCACACTCCCTCCCACGTAAGGGCGCCATGGCCAGGATGATGACCAGGAGTGACGACCCTACACGTGTAGCTGCAAGGGAGATGCCCACAGTAAAGACAGCATGTATCACAAATTAAAAACACGCCACTGCTTAGGGCCCGTATCACGGGAAGATGGTCCCCCCCAAACCGGTGCCATGAAATGAAGTCCCAGAAACACCAGGACTAGTAGAAAACCAGCTACTTCACACTACATGGCAGGCCTAGGTCTTACTCAGCTGTTCTTCATCTTCTAGATCCATGGCAAAGTGCTTGGGAGGCTTTCTTGACCGGCGGAGACTGCTTCTGTCTGAAAGACAGCAAGAAAGTCACATTTAGTGGGTCCGTCACACGCGCAACGTGGGGTGAGTCTCCTGTGCAGAAACGCCAGCACGGCTGCACGCGAAATAAGGCGGTGAAACAAGGGCAGTCCGTCTGCCGCCAGGACAGGACGTGCAGGTGCTCCCGCCCCGTCACTGTGGTTCACCACGGGGCCCCCACAGGCTTTGCCACAGGCACAGGTGGCTTTGACTGCAGGACTGGGGCCCTGGAGAGCTCCAAACCAGGGAGAAGGGCGGACAGTGTTCACGTCTCGATCTCTCCTGGACGAGGGGCAAAGACCGCATCACAGCAGATGGCCACGGAGTCCACAGAGGACTCCGGCCTGCCTGCCATCCGGTCTTTGCCCTGGCCGACTTCCGGTTTGGGTCCCAAAGTAAAGCTGCAAAGAAAAAGAAGTGCCCACGGCATTTCACTTCATCATTCCTGTTTCCTCTTGAGTCACATTTCAAATGGATGAATCTAAAAAGCATGGAATTGTTAAAATCTCATTGAACTTTTTAGCCAAGAGTAACGTTATTTTATTAGTAGGAGAAATAACAGGAAATCCTCAAAAAACAATTACTCCAATGATCTCATTCTTAACAAACGTAAGAGTTTCCTTTTCCTAAGTAGTAAGGCTATGCTTTGCAAAATTTTACTAATATGTGATCTATAATTAATGATCCCATTAAACTGTAATTGATGAATAAGAAGACTTGCAAATTTTGTAGCCACATGTTGCTTTGTATACAAATAAAATTGATATTACAAATCACTAAAAGGCAAATTCATTATTAAGAAGATGGTGACTAAGTGTGCTAAAGCATGCATGTATCTTATAAACATCTCTCATACATCAAATGTTTAAAATATATATACAGTTTTCATGACAACCATTTGTTAATAGTGGTTGAATCTCACTATATATCTGGTAAATTTGTTGCTAAAAGTTCAATGAGTTTCTGTTTAGAATCTGTTATTCAAGAGAGTATTCCAGATAGTTTTAAAAGCATTACTTTATATTCATTAATTATAGATAGATATATTTTCTGGAAACCTACTCTGTGCAAAGCACAGTGCGGACATGACAAGGGCTTGAAATGAATCAGACAGATCCTGTGAGGGAGAAATTCAAGTAGAACTGCCATCTGGAGAGCTGGTTATAACCAGGAATCCTTGTTAATCATTTTAGGTGTGGAACCAGGACTTACCTTTTAGTAATACTGAAGTAGTCAGAGATGAAATGGCAATATCTGGGGTTTATTAATGTATCACAACCCCGGTGGGGAAAAAGCAGATGGTGCAGAGATGAACTGAAGGGCTGGCCATTGCTCAGGCTGGCTGGCGGGCAGGTGGGCTCATTACAAAATGCTGGGTTTGTATGTGTTTTACAATTTCCATTACTGAACACTTGTGTTTATTTACTTATTTTTAGAGAGAAGGGAAGGGAGGGAGAAAGTCAGGGAGATCATTGATAACAGAGAGAAACATCCATCGGTTGCCTCTGGTACATGCCCTGACTGGGGACTAAATCCGCAGCCCAAGCACGTGCCCTGACTGGGAATCAAACCGGTGACCTTTCAGTTTGTGGGAAGATACCTAACCCACTGAGCCACACCGGTCAGGGCCCATTACGGAGTTTTAATAAGGAGCGATTTCCTTGAGGTCTAGAGTGGAGGTAAGATGTGGCAGGCCTGTGAGACCACTGCACGCCCTCAGCAAGACGCGGGTGCTCTGAGGGCCTCTGGGCTGCGGGACAGGTCAGAAGACGGGCAGGTGGTGGTGATGCTGAGCCTGGAGGAGAGGGTGGTCAGATGCACCGTGAAGACAGGAGACAGGGGTGTGTAGGGGAAAAACCTGGAGGCTGTGTGAGAAAACCAATCACAAGCACTTTGAAGAAACCCAAACTGTCAGTTTGGGAAACCACACAACCGTTCTAATCACTCTGCTGTTATTTGCTGACCCCTGGTTCCGAAACAGGCAGCAGGGGCTTGCACAGGGAGGAGGGGGGTGCAGACATCCTCCTCCCTCCCCCCTCAGTACAACTGAAGACCCTGACACCACATATAAAGGTGAAAGGAGGATGACAGACCAGCTGGGACCCGAGGGATGACATGGCATGGGTCCCCTGGTCTTTCTGTGTCATGACCCCAAACTGGGAGCTGAAGGAGCCAGCAACCTGGAAACATCAATGGGCACAAACCAAAACACCCCAGCAAATGCTGGTCTCTCTGGCAAAGAACCGGGAGAGGTCCCTCCTGTAGGACAGGAAGTAACAGAACAACCCTACCCCGGCCAGACCCCACCCTTCCACCTAGCAAGGGTGAGAGGGAAGCCTGGACCCCCTTCCCTCCCGTCCTGCAAGGCAGCATCAGGGAGAACTCATAGGGGGCTGGACTTCCACCCCCACCTGTGTCATGGCAGCGAGGTGCCCTTTCCGGCTGCCCTGGGGTTTCAGAGGAGGCCCAATGGAGTTAGGACTGTCCCCCACACCCCACCTAGCAGTGTGGACAGAGCCATGGAGGGGTAGCAGAGGCCTGGTGGGGCACCTGAGGTGGTGTCTCCCTCCCCGAACACAGCAGCATGAGTGAAAATCATCTAACACAAAGGTTAAAGATGTAGAGTCTTGTAACATAATATGTTGCAAGGTTTCAATCAAAAATCATACCAACAGCCAGGAAGATCTCACACTGAATGAAAAAAGTCAATCGACAGATGCCAACCCAGAGAGATGGGACTGTCTGGGAGGGCCTCAAGCATCCATCAGAAAGTGCGGGGGCGGGGGGGGGACCCACTGTACCCAATGGCCATACGCACTGGGCAGCGTTCGTCACCAAGACAGTACGGTATTACAAGGGACACACAAACGGAGCACGCGGAGCAGACAGAGCCCAGGGACAGGCCCACAGGTGCCTGGCTGGGGGCAGTGCAGAGGAGCCAGGCAGCTGGCAACAGATGGCGCTGCAGCCACCGGGCAGCCGAGTCACACGCCAGCTCCAACCTGCACTCGAGATGGCCAGGGGCTTGAGTGTGAAACGTGCATGATCAAACCTGCACAGGACTCACAGGAGGACATCCTGGGGGCCAGGGGCTCAGCCGGGCTCGCCCAGGCAAAGTGGACGCCAAAAGCACAATCCGTAGTCTAAACTGGCTTTGCTGGTGAACTGGACTTCATCAACATCAGGCCTCTGCTCTGCTGAAGACCCTGCTAAGGAGATGAAGAGACAAGCTACCGACTGGGAAAATAGCTAAAAACCACACATTCCACAAATGGAACACACCAGGAATTCTCCAAACAGTAAGACAAACAATCCAACTAGAAAATGGACGTAAGACAAGAAGAGACATTTCACTGAAGAGGATATTCAGATGGAGGAAAAGCCCATGAAAAGTGGTCAGTGTCATCAGCCAGCGGGGAAGCAGAACTTACAGCCCTGTGAGACACCGCGGCGCGCCACGAGCAGCTGGAGCGAGAACCCTGACAACCCGAATGCTGGCCAGTGTGCAGAGAAACTGGGTCCCTCCCGAGCTGCCGGTAGGGATGTTAATGGTGTGGCCTCTCTGGAAAGTTTGGGAGTTTTTAAAACACTGAATAAGGGCATTTATCCCAGAGAAATGAAGACTTAAGTTCACATAAAAAGTGTGCACAAATGTTTACAGCAGTGCCATTCACAACAGCCCCAAACTGGAAACAGCCCAGGTGCCCTGCAACAGGTGAGTGGTTGAACGCCCCGCAGCACATCCACGCCGAGGAACATGATGTGGCAGAAAAAGGACCGAACTACTGACACTCACAGCCGCTTGGGTGAATCTCCATGGATGAGGCCGCAGTCCAGAAGTCACCTACTGCGTGGTCCACTTACATGGCATTCTTGAAATGAAAGAAGTAGAAATGGAGAACAGACGAGCAGCTGCCAGGCATCGGAAGGGCAAGGGCGGGGCTATAAAGGCACAGGAGAGTGGCCCAGGTGGCGATGGAATGTTCTGGACCCTGACTCTATCCGGGTCTGCATTCTGACTGTGACACCGCACTGTGTCAAGCAGACATGGTTCTCTCTGTATTATTTCTTATGGCCACGCACAGATCGACACGACCTCCAAATAGAGAGTTTAATTAGAAGCAGGCAGAAGGCACAGATACGCAGCAGTTCATCGGGGAGGGCTGTGCCCAGCAAGCTGGCATTCCTGGAGGTCAGGGGTGAGGAAGAACACGCTGCCCGTGACAATGACAGTGTGTCTGAGCCGCGGGAGAAGCCCGGGCCCGGCCCTGACGGAGCTCACCTAATTTGCAGAGCGCCTTGTTTTCCTGCTCTTACATATTAAAATTCTTAAAAGGACACGGAAATGTCTCACAGTGGGCAATGATCAGACCGCGCACAGCGGCGGGCGGGCGGTGCGCAGGGAGAACGGAGGCCCGAAAGCTCCTGCCGATCAGGGTTCCACCTCCCACAAATGCCAAGTCTCGTACCAAAGGTTATAAAACAAAGCAAAACAGCAAGTGCATGCACTTTAGAGCACTTCACACAACCGCTCTGCTCTCATTCTGAAAGCACCACTTACGGCCTGAACTATAAGCACATCAGAATTAAAACCCCATCAAGAATCCCACATGGAACAAAATTCCAGGATTGACCAATTAAAGAAAAGCTCTATTTGGTGGCAATACTCAAACAATTTCTTCACTTTTCAGCATGCTCATAAAGCAGGAAGAAGTAAGCTAAACTTGGGAGGCAGCCAAGTATGAAAAAAGCCACTAAACCTGGCATCAGAAGACCTGAGGTTGATGGTTAACTTGGTTGCAGTTCTAGTTCCAACTTTTCTTTTTTAATAGAACTGAACAAGCAGATTCTGAGGTTGACATGGAAGAACAGACAGGTGTGGGTACTTGGGAAAAACGCCAGTGGAGGGAGTGACGAGGTGGGGCCAGTGCTCCCGACCACAGCCGACGGGCCCTGACACCCAGACAGTGTGCGGCTCGAGGACCGAGGA